CACCAAGCAGCGTCCTACTGGGAGGGCACACTTTCTCCTATGGTGCCAAGAGTGTGGGGTCATCACGAGAGAACTTCTCACCAGGAAGAAATTCCAGGGAAATCTAAACCAGCAGAAAGGACAATACAAAGAACTTATTTCTAAGTTGCTTTTATTTTTTTGATACATATTTTTTTTAATCCAAGAAAGATCTCAAGCTACCTTTCTCTCTTCTTTACCAGTGTGAAAATAAATCAAGACCAACCAAATAACAAAGACTGTTTATCCAGAATTTCCTATAGCATGAGAACTTATTTCTAAGTTGCTTTTATTTTTTTGATACATATTTTTTTTAATCCAAGAAAGATCTCAAGCTACCTTTCTCTCTTCTTTACCAGTGTGAAAATAAATCAAGACCAACCAAATAACAAAGACTGTTTATCCAGAATTTCCTATAGCATGAGAGTTGGCGCCCGTGGCTTGCTTGCATTTTGGTGTAGACTTTAAAATGGGCAAATATGTGGGAATGCTTTATAGTGGGAAAAAGAGGTTTCCAGTAGGAGGCTGTTGACATAGGAAAGTTGGGGGCAGGCAAACTAGAAGTAGGGCACCCTGTGTGATTGGCTAGGGTTACATATTTGTCTTTCTATGGTTGGTCCTAAGTTAGAATCAGGAACAAAAATTTAGGAAGCTGTCAGTTAATGATCAAATCCTGTCTATTTAGGACCCAGTGTTACAGGGATAATTGTTTGTTATTAGTGGGTTGTTATTAGTGATAGCAGTCCAAATTCCTACAAGCCTGACATAGCAGGCTGGCTTTCCAGTCTGGTTATTGTAGATAAAGGGTTGGTTTCCTGGACAGGTTGCTGCAGCTTGTCGTCCTGAGTTCTGCTTTTATATATGGTCTATTTTTATATTCAGTCCCTCACCAGCATATAAATGTTACATTTGGGGAGTAATGGACAATATTGTCTTTTTTAAAGAGCTACTGACTTGACTTTTCTTTTTATCAATTAAGGGAATTAGATTCCCTACCATAAAGTGTGCTGAAGGGCAGTGATAGAACTTACTTTAATTTCTCTCTATTTTTAAATGAGTCTTCCACACATTAAACAATTTAGAAGACAGAAACCTTGTCTCCCTCATTTATCTCTTGTGCCCAAGGCCTCTTACAGGCTGAGAGAGGACCTAGAAACTTCTGGGTGGTGGTGGTTGTTTAAAGTTCTACCAATGGTAAAATATGAAGAAATGGGAAAACAGTAATAAAAACTTATACTCCACAATTTGACCCTTAAAGTATGCCCACAGTTATGATGATTATTGTGCTGTTCATAATTAAGTTACAGGGTGTATAAAGCAGACTAATTTGTGGTGTGCCACAGCTAGGTGGTCCTGTGAAGGACCCAAGCTTAAATCTGAATGAAAACATCTTTGGCCCATCAAGAAGGTAAGACCTGAGCAAGCTGCTCTCTGTGAGTACATATGGTAGGCACTGAAATACCACTGCCTGGAGAAATGCCAGGTTTCCTACATACATGTATTGCCATTTATGCAGAGTTTAAAAATATAGCTGGTTGTTCCATTTGCACAGGAAAGGATGAAAAGCTGAAAGATTAAAAAGAAGCATGATTTTCAGTTTTATTTGTAAATTAAGGACAGAAATGTGGTTTAGGATTTGTGATTTTCAACTGAATGTGTTTCTAAACTTACCGATCATTAGTAAACCCAGGATATGTTGTGGGAGACACTACTTTAATTAGGCTTGGGACTTCATATACCCCCAGAATGCAAAGATACAGTGACAGTTTCAGATTAGCATAGAATTTCCTGTTTTGGCAACTCAAATTGTTTACTTCTCTCCTGGCACTTTATCTTCTGTAAGGAAAACAACATTTGCAGCCACACATAAATGGAAAAGCATTGTTTTTCAAAGCTCCTTTGGACTAGATCATGCAGTAATTTAATGAATAACATGATTTCATATTTAGATGCTGTGATCATTGAAATTAGTGTAAGTGGTCTCTGTCCACATTAAAGGAGCCATATATTACTTGTCATATTTGGCTGTCTCTGGATAAGATGGTGCCAGGAATAAATACCAGAAGGCAGTAAATTATGATAGAAGTATGCCAGGAGATCTGTGGAAACTTAAGGTTGTGTGAGCTGAACTGTTAATTAGCACCACCATGGTCTGTGATTTGTTTTTTAAATAATGTGCTTTAGTTTCCTCCCTTAATGTAAGAAAATAATTATTTCCTACAGCAGAATGAACAGCTAAAATGTCTATGTTGGACACTTCAGAAGTTCATGTGTGCTCTTTAAAGGTCAAGAAAGTAATTTATATTTAAACTTTGAACCTTGAATTTGCATTATCTCTATACTATTTAATACCCTGAATGAGGAGGTTATTGAATAGCAGCCCTTAGAGGTGAAGATGATCCACCTACCCAGAGATTACTGTAATTTTAACCTCTTCCCTTCTCTAGCACCATTCATTTCTCCTTCTCCACAAATACGTTCTCTTCTGTTTTCAAATGTGCTCAAAACCTCTTTTTTCTTTTAAAAAATATATACCCAGATAATCACATGTATCTGCATGTATTTCATCTGACCCTGCTGCTTCCCCTGTGTACCAGCTTACTTTTCTCTTTTCATTGCCAAATGTCTTAAACATGGGATCTGTGTCTGTTGGCCACTTCCTCTCACCCTGTTCCCTGCTTAACTTTCAAGCCTCCATCCTCAGTTAGGTATGGAAATGACTCAAAGATCATCAAAATCTTTGAGGAAATCTAATGGCCTCTGCAGCCAGCCTCACCTGCTGGCCCATTTGGTACTTTCTACAGACTCCTTGAACCCTGGCCTCCCTTCACCTCCACAGCACTGCACTAGGCTTATTGGCCTTCCTCTTACAGGGTCCATTCCCCTTCATTAGCATTTCTTCTTGTTCACAAATTTCTGGAGGTCTGTTCTTGCCAGGTCCTATTTTTGAGGCTTACCTAGAATAAGTTGACCCACAGGAATAAAATGAATTCAGTAACACCTTATTACAAGTTAAGAGCATATTGAGAAGTTGTCTGTGAGGGCCCAGGAATTGGTTCAGCTCAATTCAGAGTCAAGTCTCCAAGACCTTAAAGAAGGGAAAATAAACAAAAAGTCTCTTGGTGACCTCTTCTTAAACAAGCAGACTGGTCTCTTGGTTTAGTGTGAAGATGTGGCACATTTTGTTTTATTCAAGAATTGTTTAGGACTCAACAGAAACTGAAATGATTCATGTGTAGCTATGATAAATCAGGTGTCTGGTTGAGCCACTGCTCAAAGTCCTAAATCCCTGAACATCTTTACAAATGTTCCTGTCGATCAATGGACAAAACAATGTAACAAAGCAAAATTCTTTTAATTATCTATGGTATATATAGATATCCACTTTTGTGTCAATATTCTCCTGACAATTAAGGTCCTCTTCTTACACTTAAGAACTTTATCAGCAAAATGTCCTCAAGTTGTCTTTCCTCCATATTCACTTATGCAAAGCAGAGCTCTAGCCCTGGGGACTTTCTTCTTATAAACAGGTGAAGATACCAAAAAGATAGTCCATAGACTGGGAGAAAATATTTGCAGCACACATATCTGGTAAAGGACTGGCATTCAAAATGTAAAAGAAATCTCTTTAGATTCAACAATAATAAAAGGAACCACTCAATTAAAAACAGGCAAAAGATCTGAATGTCAGATGGAGATACCTCCTTGAAGAAGATATACATAAGGCAACTGTATGAAAAGATGCTCAACATCATATGTTATTAGGGAATTGCAGATGAAAACAATCATGGGCTCCAGCTGCACACCTATTAGAATGGCTAAAATCCAAAACACTGACACCACCAAAAGTTGATGAAGACATAGTGCAACAGGAACTCTCATTGCTGGTGGAAATGCAAAATGGCACAGCTACTTTGGAAAACAGTTTTACAGTTTCTTTCAAAACGAGAAACATAGACTTACCGTGTGACCCAGTGATCACACTCCTAGGTATTTGTGAATTGAAAACATATGACCACACAAAAATTTGAACATGGATGTTTATGGCAACTTTATTCATAATTGCCAAAACTTGTAAGCAGTCAAGATGTCTTTCAATAGGGGAGTGGATAAACAAACTGAGGTACATTCATACAATGGAAAATTTTCAACAGTTAAAAAAAGAGAGCCCTTGAGCCAAAAAAAGATAGGATGGAACTTAAAGGCATATTGCTAAGTGAAATAAGACAGTCTGGAAAGGCTACATTGTATGATCCCAACTACATGACATTCTGGAAAAGGCAACACTATAGAGACATTAAAATAAAATTGTGATTACCAGAGGCCCAGGGAAAGGGGTAGGATAAACTGGTAAAGCACAGAGGATTTTTAGGGCAGTGAAACTATTCTGTATATATATTCTATGTATGATACTATAATGGCAAATATATGACATTATGAACTTGTCAAAACCCATAGAACTGTACAACACAAAGAATGAGCCCTCATGTATACTACGGATTTCCATTGAAAAATCATGTATCAGTATTGGTTCAGTTGTCCTTTAAACCTAAAACTGTTCTAAATTTTTTTTTTAATCTTAATATAATGACTTGTGTTCTACACACACAAGAGCAGTCGTAACACTGGGAATTCCTTGTACATCCAGAGCAAACATGTATTCCCACATAGAAATAAACATATGGAGTCATGTCCATAACTGATTGTGATAATATGTCACACACTGAACTTGTTGGTCCAAAGTTGGAGTTAACTTTGTGAGATCCTCCTTCTTCTTCTTCTTCTTCATGTGTGAAATTCATATGTCCCAGGTGAGGAACATCTAAAGTAAAGGGTAAGCTACTTGACAGCTTCCAATAAACAACGAAATGTTTGGTGGATGAATGTAAAACAATAAAAATAGTGTACTAAGGTCTTAGTGTCACCACCCCAGAAACGCCTAACCAGACATTTGAATGATTTTTTTTTTCCTTTTCTCCCAGGCCTTGCAATTGCCAGTGCCCTCATAGATATTTCACAACAGAAGCCTTCAGATAATAAAGACAAGACTTCAGGTGTCCGAAATCGGAAACACCACCTCTCAACGCGCCAAGGAACATGTGTCTGAGAAACAGGAACTGCTCCTGGATATTCTGTAATGTTTGACTTTGCAAACTGCCTTGCGCTAAGTCTGCCCGTGGCCTCGGTTTTTGTGGAGGCACATTCCAGTATGGTCCCAGGGTGCATGGTACAGTTCCCTCCAGATGCGCAATGACCGAAGTGGCTGAAGAATGTTTATGAGTTTCGTAGAAGCAACAGTCTTGATGGTCACAGGTGATGAAGTTCGTTTTTACGACTCTCTTAGGCTTATCGTAGATAACATTAAATTTCTCTAGAAAAAGATGCATATTGTTTCTTAATGCAGATGAAAAATATGAAATTCGTATAAACCAAACTGTTTATATTCCAAGACTTTAAAGAAAGACATTTTATAATGCCTGAACGATGAGCTATGTACAGGTTTTGCCTCATAAGCAAACTTAAACCACTTGTGTATGCACAGGAAATGAACAAATTGCAATGGCTTTAGATGCTGTTTTATCTCACTGTAAATGTAAAAGCAAGACTGATTTAGTAGGATGTAGGCAATGTATTTAAATATTTCACATGACCATATCATGTCCAACTGGAACACAGACCAGAATGAGCCCATTTGGATGGATGGTATGTGCAGCTTCACAGGTATTAGAATTCTGAGTGAAGAGGGCATTCCTGTCATCCATGCCAACCGCCTAACTCATTATCAGAGCTGATGGAGCGTGGGAAAGCCTGGCCAGCAGTCGATTTTTCCCCTCCTTCCAAAAACAGCCTCTGACACCAGGAGCCTGAAGAGAACTGAAATAGTTATTTTACAGTGTGCAGGCTTCTGCCCTAACATGGTAATTTTTTAATTGCCTATGAATCATTGGATCAGACCTAAGTGATCCATCTGCATTTTTGTAAGAACAGATCATGTTCTGTTGGCCTTCCTCTGTGAGTTGCTAGATTTTATCTACCTTTTACATGATATGAAATGCATTTTAGAGACGATATCTCCCCAGTTATAAGACAACCCAGGTTTCTTCCAGCCAACTATTTCACTAGGAATACAGGTAGAGAAGAGCATTTGCTAGCAAGCATCTACAGTATTCTTATTTCTAATGTGAATACATAGTGTCATGAAAGAAAGTCTCCAGTTTAAAAAATAAAGTAAGCTCACTGTTGCCTGCATTCAGCATATTCTTAATGACTCAAAAATCTGAATTATGACAGAAAGGAAAAATGATATAAAACTGCTTTCTCACTGGAACATACTCATTTGTGTCCTAATTTTGACACAAATTACACAAGAAACAAAACTTAGAGTTGCTAGAACTGAGTCACATTAACAGATCTTATTTGGAATTACAGTTTCTTAACTCCAGGGTGACTACAGAATATATGCAGAAAGCAGTGACAGAGATATCCAGAGCTGCTTTATATGATATAGTTGTGTTCAATATGAAAGTCATTTATTAATGCTTAGTACTATATATGACCTTTTTATGATCTTTGGATTTCTGGAAGGTAATGACGCTTCACTGTTTACAGCTAATGCATAGATCCTTGCATGCTGAGGTTGTACAGTAGCAGAATATGACACTATTGTGATATTCAATGTTTATTTCATAATGCCATTTATCCATAGTCAGCTTAATTTGATGAAGATTGAAATAATGTATAACGGGAATGATCATACACTATGTAGTTGCATCATATATATGATTGCTAGGTAGCATCTAACCATGACTCATTGTTTTGATAATTAGGCATTTATAAATTATAGTATATATTCCTTATGTTGGCATGGTAATTTTTCTATTTTCCACACATTAAAAGTAAGACTAATTCTTAGAGTAATTTTACCTATAGCCTGTAGGCTTTGGGGGCTGGGAGTGGAGCTGGTTGTTTTCACCTCCCTATGATATTTTCTCTCTCAAAAAAAAGAAAGAAAAAGTGAGCAAAGTTTGTAAATGTCTCCTAAAAACAATCAAGTAATTTTATTAGCTTCTTTTGGACCCTTTAAATGTTGATTTTTCTCCTGGAAAAAATAAATGGACAAAACTGATGATTACAATTTAAAAATAAAATGATTGGCCAATTTGTTTAATTCTCTAACAGTTGTCATGAGAGTAAGCTCATGTAAGAAAAACACTTAAACATATTCAGAGTTGTATGTAAATTATTTTCAGCGAGCTACATTTTCAGAGGCTAAGTAAACTATTACTGTGAAAGAATTGTCATGCGTCCTCCACCTCAAATCCCATCGGGTTCTTAAAACTTGAAATTTTGAATTTTAGAGAATTATGGGACATGATGCAATGTTAAGTTAAAGTCATACTATACCTTTCTGGGCCAAATAGTGCTAACTCCGTGACTAATTATGCAATATCTTCTAGTCTTCTCAAAGCTTTTTACTGGCAATAAAATTCTTTACTCTCAGGTGAAGCTGACTAAAAAGACCTTAGGGATAATCACTTTGAATCTGTGTCATGTTCTTTTTCCCACACATACCTTTTCCCCCAAATACCTTAAATTTGAATGCTTCCTTTTTATTCTTTTTAATCAAACCACAAGTATATGCTGACACTTCAAGAAGTGAACAGTTATATGACTAATTATCTTAATGCGATTCTGTACATTTCAGTTTAGAATGACTTTGGAAACATCTTTAGATTTTAGGATTTCTTATTCTTCCAAATAAGAAAAGTTTGGGTTGACAGAATGGAGAGTTTTTAATTAACCTGGGAGCACTATTGGACAATTAGAGAATTCCTGTTGAAAGAGATACAGTTGCTTACAGATCGATTTTAAAAATTATAAGAGGATTGGGATTTTCATAATTGCTTTTAAATGAAAATTTAGTTTAGTGATACACATAGAAGGAAAGTATATGCCATATACTACTGCATTATGTTCAGTAGGAAATCTTCAAATCTTCAGATAGGACATATTTCAAAGTGTGATCAGTATTTGCTGTACTTGTAAACATCTTTTTTTTTTTTTTTTTGGTTCCACTAAGACAGAAGTGTCTGGATGGTTGTTGTCTTGCTGCAGGATCATTTAGAGTGCAGACTGGTGGGTGGACTTTGGAACCAGCCTTGAGATGTGTAGTGTGGGGCAAGTTTTAACCTTTTGAAGCCTCAGACTTAACATCTTCGCAGGGGTAGAAGAGGTGTAAAGAGGTGCCCACCTTGCAGAGCTGTTGTGAACCTACCAAGTAATAAGTATAAACTCCAAAGGCAGGACCTCAATGCAGTGTAGTTGGTAGTAACAATCATGAGGCCATCAGGCAATTCTTTTCCTACCAGTTTTTTTCATGAACCCCTCTATTAATTGTTCATCCATCTATTCACAATAGGTAAAAGCCAGATAGGCTTTTACAAATGAAGATTTCATAATAATCTTAAAGATACAGAGATTTCTAAAAAAAGCTACTTTGATATTTGGGTCAATAGAATCTTTGACTCTTGCAAAATATATAGTTTTAGTAATTTTTAAATTACTGCTTAATGACATTTAGACAGGAAATCAATGGTCACTTTCACATCCAACTTGGACAAGAAGGGATCAGTCCTTCTGTTTGCTTGTCACACATAGTGTATCATTTTTCATTGAACATAATACTGTGACTTGAAAGTGTTTTATATTAAACGTTTTAAAAAATTAGAACTGATCAAATGAACTAATTCTACCCACATACACTTAAAAAAAAAAAAAGCCATTTCCAAAGCCCATTTGTCATTCTACTAGGGTGCATTTGGAACTTTCTTGATCATAAGAGCTGTCTGGGTTAGTGCAGATTCTTACCTTTGACTGTAGAGGTTAAGATTCAGACGGATGGGACTGGACCCTGGGGGTTAATATGCTTAACAAGCTCCTCGCTGTTTCTTAGGATCAGGCAAATCAGAGAAACACTGCACTGGGCCAAAAAGTTGTCTTTTTCTACAGTTAGAAGAGTCTTTTTAAATAATGAAGTTATCACTCTAATTCAAAATGCTTTCAATAATTTTCTAAGGATTACAAGCCATCTGATGTCACAGCAGTGTTTTCACTGTAATGTATATGTAACATTTTAGTTTCATCTAATTTTTTAACTTAAGAATTAGAACCATCTCAATACATATGTACAGGTGTGCATGCCAGTGTTAAAACAGATTTTGTAAAAGTTCAACCTGCTTTAAAAAGTCAACACTTTATGATATAGCATGCTATTAATTAAGAGTTTAATTACTGAAATAAAAACTTTGGATCTTCCAACCCCCACTACTAAATGCAGTTGTTTTTTTGTTTTTTTTTTTTTTACCCTTCCAAGATCATTCAGGAAACAGCACTCAACACCTGGAAAAGCCCTTTGCCGTCTCAGACTTGGTTATAAAATACGTGTTGCACAAGGGTGGGAGTGGCTAGGGTTCCAGCTATAATGGAGACTCGCTGCCTCTGGCCATGTGTTTTGTGTTTACCTAAATTGTTCTTACTTACAAAGTCCTCTTTCTGAGAGGGGAGCAGCTGTAGCACAGCTGAGGCGGTCTAAGGAATGTCTGCTTGTTCTTTGCAAGCCTTGGATTTAGTCCCCATGTGGCCATCCGGGTCCTGGCCTTCTGTCCGTGTAACTGCTCTGCCGAGCCTTGATCCTGCGTTACTGAGAAGGGGCAGCCAAGCAGGGTCCAAACGCCTCTCTTCTCAGCCCACAGGAGGACAATGCATCTGCGACTCCTTTGGGGCTCAAGGCCTCCTGCAGGCCCCCTGCCTCCCGACCTGAGGTCTGCCCCTGCAGTTGGCCTGCCTGAGCACCAGAAGATGGCATGGTGGTCTCCTCCCACTCAGCCATCCATCACACCTACCAGAGGTCAGGCCAGGAAAGAGGCTGGGATCCAGGATCCTGCTTAATCTTGAGAAACATGCCCAGCCTGGCTGGCATCCCCTGGAAGCTTTAGAAAAGGGAGAGGAGTTTTGGGAGGGGCGCAGATGAAGATGTGCGTCAAGTGGCTAGACCTCGAACTGAATCCTGGAGACCGTTTCTGTGATGGGAAGCCAGCTTCCCCGGATGTGGAGCTTTGCTCATGCCCCACTTTCTAATGGTAGTTCAGGGGCTGTCAGGAGATATGAAGATTTCAGCCCCAGACTGATTTTCCTCTGCCCTGAAAAGCTTTCCTCATAGAAGTCATCTACGTGAACGGCTGGAAGGAGGGCAGGCATCCAGCTCTAACCTAAGGTCCTTTCCAGTAAACCTACAACTCCCTCCCCAATTCTAATGGGCTTCCCGACTTGTGTCGCCTTACGGTGCCTGGCATAGTCATAGCAGCTAAGATTTTGTTGAGCTTTACTTTCTCCAGCCCTGCAGATGAAAACAGTAAGTATATTATTTGGCTTTCCAAATCGGAGAGTACATTATAATCCTGAATGAGCTTTTGTATACTGCACACCCCTCTCCCCCGCCACCCCACCAATTCTGACCTATCTGCCTCCCAGGGCTCCCACCCTTTGCTGAGGATAAATTCAGCCCCACCCAAGGATTGGTTGTGGAGCATTCCTAATTGAACGAGAAACCAAGCCCTTCAAAGACCACTGCAGAAACACTATTCTACTCATCACGCAAAG